TCACTGACGCTTTTGCCTGTTCAAGAGACATCTTTTCATATTCCTCTGCTTTTGTAGAATTTGCCATTTATGATTGCTTGAATTGATGGTAAAACTTCATGAACCAACACTAGAATGACAAAAAATTGGTATTACTTGTAAACACTAAGACTTTAAAACAATTTTTTTTTTTTTTTGAGACAGTTTCACTTTTGTCACCCAGGCTGGAGAGCAATGGCGTGATCTCGGCTCACTGCAAGCTCTGCCTCCAGGGTTCAAGCGATTCTCCTGCCACAGCCTCCCGAGTAGCTGGGATTACAGATGCCTGCCAACAGGCCTGGCTAATTTTTTCTATGTTTAGTAGAGTCGCGGTTTCGCCATGTTGGGCAGGCTGGTCTCTAACTCCTGACCCCAGGTGATCCGCCTGCCTCGGCCTTCCAAAATGCTGGGATTACAGGCGTAAGCCACCGCGCCCGGCCTAAAATAATTTTAACTAGAATTTGATCAAAAAAAAAAAAATTTGATCAACTAGGAGTTTTAAAAAATCTCATTGTAGAGAAAATATTAAAAAATGTTAATCGATATTACGTACGAATTTCTGAATATGGTAATACTAAGTATAATCCCCTCGTAATTCTATAATCTTATTCATAAAAGTCACTCTTGGCATTAAAGCTGATGAATGAAGTGGGGATACACATGCACTAGCTCCATTTCAGTTCTGACCCTTACTCCATAACTCTGGTTCCCAAACTGCATGGTTGGTACCATAACAAACAGCACCACAGGACGTAACGTGGAAGATATCACAGAAACTACCAGCTTTAAGTGCAGCACAGTTCCAACTGAATAGACTGCACTACATACCTTTCAATGACTTTGTGAAGCTGAGATTTTGGTATCACAGAAAATCAAGGTGAAACAGAAAATGAGGTTGGCGGTGCCTATCTGATTTCGAGGCTTGAAGTTGTACAGTACCCAACAGGTTCACACATCCTGTTAGCAAGGGATTGTGATTAATTAAGAATAAAACACAAACATTACCTTTCCCCCCAATTTGTGTATTAATTTTTTTAAACAGACATAAAGTTGTTAGACCACAAATACTTTCAAATTCTTTGGGGTAAACTACTTAATAAATGGAACTGTTGCATTTCTTTTGGCCTATGGACACTAAGGGCATCAAGAACAGAAAAAGTTCGGGATTCTACAGCAAGAACTTCTGAAATCATATTTCATAATGGGTGTTCCAATTAGGTAGAAAGTGGAGAGAGTAGAAATGACTTTAGACAAGTTTCAAGACTCAGCCTGCAGTTTGATGACCATTAAGTCTCCTTCAAATACGTTCTTAGACCTACATTAAGATGGGAAAGAGAGAGAAATAACTGAACTATCTATTGGTTAAGAATTACGGTGGTTGATTAAGTCATTCAACAAACTTAGTGACCTCCTACTACAGAGAAGCTCAAGGTAAATTATGTTTTCAAGATGTTTATAGCTTACATACCACTATTAAAATGTTAAGCTTTTGTTCGGCACAGTGGCTCACACCTGTAATCCCACCACTTTGGGGGACCGAGGTGGGCAGACTGCTTGAGCTCTGGAGTTAGAGACCAGCTTGGGCAACATGGCAAAATCTCGTCTCTACAAAAAATAGCTGGCATGGTAGCACACGCCTTAGTTCCAGTTACTCAGCAGGCTGAAGTAGGAGAATGACCTGAGCCTAGGAGGTCCAGGCTGCAGTGAGCTGTGATTGCGCCACTGCACTACAGCCTAGGTAACAAAGTGAGACCCCCCTTAAAAAAAAAAAAGCTTTTTCATGAAGGAAGTGTTTGTGTTGTGCTAAAAATAGATAAATAAATAAATAAGCCTTTTGGATAATGAAAAAGAATAAGAAATTAAGTTGCTTAAAGGAATGGGTAACAAGTCACTACGAATTGGGTAAGGATTTCAAGGGTTATTAGCTTTCATGATCCACCATTTGAGGTAACAAAATACCAAGAGGTACCAAATAGAACTGAATGAGAGAACAACAACAAAAAAAAATCAAAAAAGTAATTTTCAGAACAAATACTTAAAATGATTATCTAGAAAAATTGGCTACCAACTTATTAAATTCCTAGTTCTCCTCCTCTGCCATTGATTTCTTAATGGAAATTGGCTTTAAATTCAAATAAAGCAATGTGACTTATCTTTAGCTATAATTATTACCTAAAATTAGTATCGAGATTTAAGCATGAATTTTACTTATGTCACTTACTTTTATGGTATCACAGATGTGACATCATAAAAACATAATCAATTAGGTCAGAAGAAATGACACAGCATTCCAGATGACCACAAAAATGAGTAAGAATGTTTAAAACCAAGCACCATGTTTACAGCCAACTTGTTTTCAACAAATGTGCCAAGAACGTACATAGTGAACACTGTCCTCAAAAAATGGTGCTGGGAAATCTAGACCACTCTCACCATATGCAAAAATCAAATCAAAATGGACTGAAAACTTAAATTTAAAACCCGCAAGTATGAAATTACTTGAAGAAAACATTGTGGAAATGCTTCAAGACACTGGTCTGGGCAAAGATTTCTGTGGTAAGACCTCAAAAGTACAGGCAACAAAAGCAAAAACAGGCAAATGGGATTATATCAAGCTAAAAACTTCTGCACAGCAAAGGAAACAAGAATGAAGAGATAACCTGCAGAAAGCGAGAAAGTATCTGCGAAACTATTCATCTGACAGGGGATTCACAACCGGAATATAGAAGAAACTCAACTCAATAGCAAAAAAAAGAAACAATCCTACTACAAATGGGCAAAAGATCTGAATAGACATTTCCTAAAAGACACACAAATGGCCAACAGGTATATATGTAAAAAATGCTCAATATCAGTAATACCAGGGAAATGCAAGTCGAAACCACAATGAGATACCATCTCATCTCGGCTAAAACGGCTTTTATCAGAAAGACTTTTAAAAAATGGATACTAAGGCCGTCGCGGTGGCTCACACCTGTAATCCCAGCACTTTGGGAGGTGAAGGTGGGCAGATCACTTGAGGTCAGGAGTTCGAGACCAGCCTGCCAACATACTGAAACCCCATCTCTACCAAAAATACAAAAATTAGCAGAACGTGGTGATGTGCGCCTGTAATCCCAGCTACTGTGGAGGCTGAGGCATGAGAATCGCTTGAACCCAGAGGTGAAAGTTGCAGCGAGCTAAGATCAAGCCACTGCACTCCGGCCTGGGCGACAGAGCAAGGCTCCGTCAAAAAAAAAAAAAAAAAAAAAAAATGCCGATGAGGATGCAGAAAAGAGGGAACACTTGTACACCGTTAGGGGAAATGTAAATTAGCAAGCCACTAATTTACATACTGGGAAAAGTATGGAGGTTCTTCCAAAAAAAACCCAAAAAATAGAACTGGCGCTATTGAGATGAGTTTCTTCTATATTCTAGTTAATCCCCGTCCGATGAATAGTTTTGCAAATTTGGGAATAGATCCAAAAGAAGGGAAATCAGTATATCCAAGAAATATCTGCAGTCTCAAGTTTATTCACAATAGTCAAGATATGGAATCAACCTAAGTGTCCATCAACAGATGAATAAAGATAATGTAGCACATATACACAATGGAATATGAGTCATTAAAAAGAATGAAATCCTGTCATTTGCAACAACATGGATCAACCCGGATGTCATCATGTTAAGTGAAATAAGTCAGGCACATGAAGACAGTATCATGTTGTCACTCAAGTGGGAGCTAAAACTGTGGAGGTAAAGAGTGAAATGGTGGTTACCACAGACTGGGAAGGGTAGCAGGAAGACAGGGATGAAGAAGAGAAACTGGTTAATGGGTACCAAAAAACCCCAGAAGAAATAAAATCTAGTGCCTGATAGTACGGTGGGGTAGACACAGTTAACAGTAACTTATTGTGTAGTTCAAAATAGCTAAAAGAAAAATTGGAATGCTCCCAACATAAAGAAAACATAAATGTTTGAGATGACAAATACCGCAATTGCCCTGATTTGGTCGTTACACACTGTATGCATGTATCAAAATATCACCTGTACCTCCAAATGTGTGCAACTTCTATGTACCAATTTAACAAATGGGGGGGAACAAACCGAACTCAAAGTGGAATAATGAAAACACTCCAAAGGAAAGAGAGCTGTCCCTCAGAATCCTCGAGGAGAAACCTTCCAGAGGTGGTCGACTGACATCGAGACGGATACGCGATAAAGAACCACCCGGACGTTTCGACCTGGCTTTCCAGCCACACCTCCGGAGCAGGCTAAGCCTCTGCGTCATTTCAGTTCCTCGGGGTACGACCGAGCGGGCCTCCAGGGCCGCGGGGATAAAGCCCACGCGGGATAAGCTCTTAAGCCCCAAGCCAGCCGCCTGACCCTCTACTACGGGCCGGAGAGGACGCAGCGAGGCGAGACGGACTCTTTCAGCCAAGTTCTCCCCTCCGTCATTGGCGCGGCCTGTTACTCAAGCTCTGGTTCAGGTATCCGAGGCGCCGCTCAAGGCAGACCTGAGGACCCCGCGCCCCTCCCCAGCAGGGCCCTGGGGCGCGAGCTGGAGCAGCTCTCGGGCTTCTTCTCCCACCCGGGCTCGCTCGGTCTGGAGGAGCAACAGCGCCCGCCCACCCCAAGCAGTTCCCATTTTGCTTGGGACCGCGGACACAGGGCGACAGACGCACGCCGCGGCCAGTGAAGCACAGGGCTAACCGAAGTGAGCCCATGTCAGCAGCGGGAGTGCCACCTCCACCGCTCCACGGCAGCCGAGGAATAAACACAAAGACAGGAAGGGCCGGAGTTCCAGCCGTCACACTCACCAGCACACCCAAACGCAATTCTGTTTGCGGAAACGGCGGCCCGCGCCACGCGTGTCTGGTCACGTCACTTCCGGAGGTGCGGGGTCACGTGGCGCCGCTCAGGAGAGCGTGCCGCGACGCAAGTCCTCCGCGCCGGAACTACGAGTCCCGACGTGCCGCGCGCGGCATGCGGAGGCTTCGCGGAGAGGGCACGGGCGGTCGCGAGCACGTTGCTAGTGGGCGCGGCTGGCGGGCCGGAGGCGGTAGGGGGCTGGCGTCCGGCTGAGTCCCGCGGGTTCTGGCACCCGGACCCGCTCTCGGTCGGGGTGCTCTGCTGAGTAACACTGCCGTGGCGTTCGAGGAGCTGTGGTCCAGCCCGCGCGGCGGGAAGCGGCGGCCCCAGCGTCCTAAGAGGTAGCCTGGGCCCCAGGCCTCTGGGGGCAGCGGGAGGGGTCTAGAGGGCACCTTCAACCCTGGGCGTGTGTCCGGGAGCTGACTCGCGGCGCGAACCCGGCAACTGCTCTGCGGGCGCCGCTCTTCGGGCTGCGGCAGTGTATGACCGCCAGACTGGGGTCGTCCACACCCGCAGACCCCACCGCCCCCGGCCCAGAGAGGCTCCCCCGCCCTTCCGGGTTGAGCCAGTGTCCTGGCAAATCTTGCTCTGGGACTGTTTTTCTGCCTGCTCTGCTGTAACCTTTCACCGTCTTCTCTTCTCTTCCACGGAAGCCGGTTGAGGAGGGGTCTGGAAGCGCCCGCGGTCGGAGTGGTTTTAAAAATTAGCAATTTCTTGTTAGGAGCTGGCAGATTGGTCCTTACCGCCGTATTTGGGAAGCCACAAGAGGCCATTCTCACCTGTTAGGTTTTGAGAAAAGGGACTGCCTATACCTCTTCTTGACGAATACGTAAGGGTGCATTACTCTGCGTTGGCTGAACTTGGCATGGTGTGGTTTGGGGGAGACAACACACTTTTTTTGGCCATCACCCCAGATTTCTACTGGGGAGTGAAAGCGCCTACTGTGCTGAAACTGGAAAGCTCCATAGTTGAGGACTTTCAACCTGAGATCAGGGTCAAAACTACCTGTGGATTATTGATGCGTGTACATGTTAACATCGTGCGTCAAGTCCCCACCTTCCAAGGGTGTAAAACTGAGCAGCTTTACAATCCGTCTTGAATTACTCTTTACCAAAATTGATCCCTTTAAAACAGCTTTGAAAATGTGCTTTACCAGCCTGCCTTCTTGTCAGTAGGCACAGATATATTAATGAATGGACCTGGCTTTGGGGAAGGCAGCATTTGCAGCGTTGTAGTTTCCAATCTAATCACTTGTAAATTGTGGGCATCTGAGGTTGTTGACCCCTTACAAACTTTGAACCGAGAATGAGGCCTGTTTTTCACACATAGGGATGAACCATCAATTTCAGATGACTGCTTGTATTATTATATGAAATGAGCTAAGTTGAGAATTTCATTTCATGAATATTGACAATTGCAAAGGTGAAGGTCTTAAAGATCGAATACATTATAGGCATATCTGTCATGCGCGTCCGTGTGAAGAGACCACCAGACAGGCTTTGTGTGAGCAATAAAGCTTTTTAATCACCTGGGTGCAGGCAGGCTGAGTCCGAAAAGCGAAGGGAGATAAGGGTGGGGCCGTTTTATAGGATTTGGATAAGTAAAGGAAAATTACAGTCAAAGGGGGATTGTTCTCCGGCGGGCGGGAGTGGGGGTCACAAGGTGCTCGGTGGGGGAGCTTTTTGAGCCAGGATGAGCCAGGAAAAGGAATTTCACAAGTTAATATCATCGCTTAAGGCAAGGACCGGCAGTTTTCACTTCTTTTGTGGTGGAATGTCATCGGTTAAGGCGAGGCAGGGCATTTGCACTTCTTTTGTGATTCTTCAGTTACTTGAGGCCATCTGGGCCTATATATACGTGCAAGTCACAGGGGATGCAAGTCACAGAGGATGCGATGGCTTGGCTTGGGCTCAGAGGCCTGACAATATCCAAGCATTAGAACCAGGCAATTACATTCCCTGGTTCTGATGCTTAAGTTTCTTGAGATAATTGCTGTTGTAATTTTACAGAAAATGAGTGTAATTTAGACTTTTAAAAGCATGTTTTAATGTTTTTAAACACCAGGCACGGCGGTTTACTCCTGTAATCCCATCTCTTTGGGAGACCAAGGTGGGCGGATCACGTTCAAGACCAGCCTGGCCAACATGGTGAAACCCCGTCTCTACTAAAAATACAAAAATTAGTGGGGCGTGATGGCACGTGCCTGTAATCTCAGCTACTCAGGAGGCTGAGGCAGGAGAATCACTTAAACCTGGGAGGCGAAGGTTGCAGTGAGCCGAGATTGCACCATTGCACTCCAGCCTGGGCGACAGAGCGAGACTGTCTGTCTCAAAAATCGAAACAAAAAAATTTTATTTGATCAAAAGCCCCTTAACTATGTGTTTATGAAAACTCCACGATGGTGGGATATATAGAGATTACATTTTGTAGTTTTTATAAAACTTAACTAGAAGTTATGTAAATACATTTGAGAATAGAGAGGAAGGATTCTTGAAAGCAGTTAATGTAAGAAGTAAATGAGCCAGATAAAAATGATTTTAAAATTACCATTAGTGTTATTTTTCCCTGAGTAATCGCTGGTTTTCTGGACATTAAAATAATAATAGCTAATACTTGAGTACCTTTTAAAATTTTAAATTGTAAAAAAATTTAGTAAATTTTTTTAGTAATAAAAAAATAATAACAGCTAATACTTGAGTACCTGAGTAATCTCTGGTTTTCCGGACATTAAAATAATAATAGCTAATACTTGAGCTTAGTGCTTTATTCATTTGCCCTCGTTTAATTCTAACTGAACCCAGTGGTATAATTATGAGTGTTTTACAGATGAGGGTTAAGTAACTTGGCCAAGATCATGCGGCTTGTAAGCAGTGGGATCAGGATTTGGACCCAGGCAGTCTGGCTGATTGACCAGATTCTGCTAATAATGAAACAGTGCTGGCTAGAAGGTCATACTCAGAACTGGAAGTTGCCTAGCAAATAGATTTTCAGAAAGTGTTTTGATACTTCTTAATGCCTGGGTTATTATGTCCAGGGAGAACATAGTTAGATAAGGATGTTGTCTTGCTGGAATGTGAGCTCCACCAAGACAAGGAAAGGACGTGTAGGATTTATTTCAACCCATTTGTAAGAAGGTGAGAGCGCTTCTGTCAGAGGTATAATTTTAAAGTGTGATTTCTGTTGTAGAGTTGGAGATCATATTTTTGAAACATAGAGATTGTTTTAAAAATGTAGATACAATGTTACAGTTTCCTAAGATAGTGTTCTGTGAAGAGAGGTGGTTCATGGCAGCTTTGTTCCTCCAAATGGTTTTGAATGAAGGACTTTTCCTCTGTTCCACTCAGAAAAGTGCTCTTACTAAAATTTCGTGGCCTTTCTGGAGCAAATAAAATATTATTGTTGAAAAGGTTTTTCCTTCAGTTGAAAATAAGGTTTTGTTGAGTAATACTGTGTGTGATGATTAGTTTTATTATGTCAGCTTAGCTAGGCTATAATACCTAGTTATTTAATCAGATACTAACTTGGTTCATGCTATGATGGTATTCCGAAGACGTGGTTAACATCTATAATCAGCTGACCTAAACTAAAGGATATTACCTTAAATAATGTGGGTGGACCTCATGCAATCAACTGAAGGCCAAAAAAGCCAAAACAGGTGTCCTGAAGAGGACAGTATTTTCCTCAAGACTACAGCATCAATTCCTACCTGAGTTTCCTGTCTGTAGATTACGCTACACATTTTGAAGTTTCTAGCCCCTACAATTGTGTGAGCCAGTTCCCTAAAATACCAATATCTCTATATCTGTCTATATATAGATGAAGATATTTATGTTTTTATCTACATCTATGTATTTTTTCCTATCAGTTCTGTCTCTCTGGAGAGCCCTGACTGATTCAAATTTGGGTGCTGAGAGTGCTTCTAGTAAGCAGAATCTTAAGGATGAGTTTTCTGAATTGATGATAGTGTTTCCGGAACTGGTCTTCTTGACTGATCAGATTTAAAGGCAATAATGAGTATTCCCAGTGGAAAAGAGGGCGCTGGTAGTCCATGGTGTGATGTGGCAAGAGATACGCACAAGATCACACCTGGATGCTCCCACTCGTGCTTATAGATAAGATTCAGAATGATCAGGTATTTGATACCTTAGAACATTTTAATCAAATTAATGAGTATAGTAAGATAGGCTGGTTGCTTTTAACTGTGCTGGGTAAAGTGAGAAAAGAAAAGGATTATCCCAGCTACTGGGGAGGCTGAGGCAGGAGAATTGCTTGAACCCAGGAGGCGGAGGTTGCAGTGAGCCGAGATTGCACCACTGCACTCCAACCTGAGTAACAGAGTGAGACTGTCTCAAAAAAAAAAAAAAAAAAAAAAAAAGAAAAGAAAAGGGCAAGCTTAAGGCTTCAAATTCCCGATTGAAGCTCCACATAAGTGACCCGAAAAGTTTCTGTGTCTGCCCTGAAGAAACCCGTATCTCTTGTAGCTGCAGAGCTGGGGTTGGTGAAAACCAAACCCAGAGTCTCATCCTGTAGGTGGCTGAATTACAGTGCTAACTGAATTAATTCCCTTCTTCACCTTGGTCTGCTGTTAAAATGAAGGCATTGATTGGGAAGGAATGGGATCCTCACATTTGGAATAGGGCCATATGGGAAAATCCTGATGAAGTTGGGGATGTTAAACTTCTAAATTTTACTCACTCTTTTTTGCCAATAGAAGCAATTCTTCCACCTCTGTTTGAGGAGATTAACTCTGCTTTGCCTGAATAACCTGTAATGATGTCCCTTGATGTAGTTACCTTGTAAGACGTTGCTGGTTCTCCTGAGGCACCTGTGAAGAGCTCTGGGGTTGCTCTTCTCTGCCAGTCAGAGATTGCAGTGAAAACTGCTGCCACTGACTGCAGGTCCTTAACGGCAGCAGGGATGGTTGGATCTCGGATGGTGGGGCCATGTCTGCAGCAGGGATGGTTGGATCCCGGGTGGTGGGGCCATGTGATCACCAAAGACTAAGTGGATGTGTTGCCATCATGGGGGACAGCGGAGTCGAAGCAGCAATCTGAACAGCCTGACTTGGGAGTCCTGTGGCGTTGGGTAGGTGGTCATGGTGTCCCTAGAAGAGAACTCGATGGGCAGTCTACTGAATTCTGACTTAATCTGTGTAAGCAGAAGAGTTCTAGGTCAAGTGAATGGAAGCCTTACTTTAATTACCAAAGAAAGAGTCATGGTCCCTCAATCAATTCCCAGATTTGAGTCATTTTACAGACCAAGAACCCCTTGAATGAGGGGAGGCTGGATCCTTTTGAGGACGGACCCCATTGTGCTGCCAAGAATTTATACCGTTAATTTTTTTCTCAGCGTTTCCTGAAGGGAAAGTGTGCATTGGAGAAGAGGCAATAGACTTCTCATGGATTAGTGAACACTTAATTCTGAACTGACACTAATTCCAGAACTCTCAAAGTGTCATTTTGGCCCACTGTTCAGACTAGGGGCTTGTTGAGGTTAGGTGGTCAGTAGAGGTTTAATCCAGGTCCTCCTCACAGTGAGTCCGCATATTCGTTCCAGGATGCGTAACTGGTGTAGACATACTCAGCAACTGGCAGAATCCCCACACTGGTTCCCCGACCTGTGGAGTGAGGGCTATTGTGGTAAGAAAGGCCAAATAAAAGCCGCTAGAGCTGCCTCTTCCTGGAGGGGTAGGAAGCCGAAAGCAATACCTCATTCCCGGAGGAACTGCAGAAATTGGTGCACTTAAGGATACAGGGGTGATGATTCCTGACATATTCGCATTCAACCCTCCTATTTGGCCTGTGCAGAAAACAGATTGATCTTGGAAAATGACAGTGGATTATCATAAACTTAACTGAGTGGTGACTAATTGCAGCCGCTGTTCCATGTTTCATTTCTTTACTTGAGAATCTATCCCCTAGTAGCTGGCATGCAGTTACTGATCTGCTGAATGCTTTGTCTTACTGTCTGTTAGTAAAGATCACTAAAAGCAATTTTCTTTCAACTGACAAAGCCAGAAATACACCTTCACTGTCCTCCCTCGGAAATATCAACTTTCCAACACTGTATCATAACTTAGACCACAGAGATCTTGTTACGAGTTGAATTGTGTCTTCTAAAAATTTGTATATTGGATTCCTAGCCCTCATTACTTCAGGGTATGACCTTATTTGGGAATAGGGTAGTTAAAAATGTGATTAGATAAGATGAGGTCATACTGAAGTAGGCTGGGCCCCTAATCCAATACAACTGGTGTCCTTGTAAACAGGAGGAATTTGAACACAGACATTCACACAGGGAGAATGCCATGTGAAACTGAAGTAGAGGAACACCAAGAAATGTCACACATTTTCAGCAAACCATCAGGAGCAAGGGGGGAGGCATGAAGCAGATGCTTCCTCACTCCCTTTGAAGGAACCAATGCTTTTGACACCTTAATCTTGGACTTCTGACCCCATAGATGGAGACATACATTTCTGTTGTGTAAGCTCCTCAATTTGTGGTTCTCTATTACAGCAGCTGTAGCAAACAGACAGAAACCCTGATTGCCCTTCCTTTCCACAAGACATCATCCTGGCCCATCACATTGATGGTGTTGTGGTGATTGGACCTGGTGGGCAAGAAGGAACAACTACTGTTGACTTACTGGTAAGACATTTGCATGTCAGAGGGCGGAAAATAAATCCAACAAATGTTCAGGGTCCTTCTACTTGAGTGAAATTTCTAGGGGTCCACTGGTGTGGTGTAGGGTGTGTTCCCACCTATAACAAAAGGAGAAGCAAGGTCTGGTGGGCCTCTTTGGATTTTGGAGGTGACAAATTCCTCATTTGGGTGTGCTACTTCAGGTTGTTTACTGAGTGACCCAAAATGCTACTAGTTTTGAGTGGATCCCAGAACAAAAGGCGCCTCTGCCACAGGTACAGGCTGCTGTGCAAACTGCTCTGCCTCTCAGGCCATATGACCCAGCAGATCTTATGGTGCTTGAAATGTCAGTGGCAGACTGAAATGCTGTTTGGAACCTTTGACAGGCCCTGTAGGAGATAATTACAGTGTAGATCCTGGGATTTTGGAGCAAAGCCTTTCCATCCTTTGCAGGTAACCGCTCTTTTAAGAAACAGCTTTTGGGCTTGTTACTGGGCTTCGTAGAAACTCCACGCTTAACCATGGGCCACCAAGTGATGCAACCTGGCTAGAAAAATGACTAGAATGTTTCAGCAGTTAAGAGCACAAGCAGATGGCATGTGTTCAAATCCTGGTTGTGTTATATTTGCTAAGTATGTTGTCCTTGAGTAAGTGACCAAACTTTGTGTTTTAACGTCCTCATGGAGCGATTTTACAGAAGAAATGAGAGGATACAGTGCTTAGCACAGAACCTGTTAATTTTTAGCTTCTCTTAACACATCTGAAACTACTACTGCGATGTCGTGAAGTCATTAGTCCATGTCTTTAAATGTGATTGTAGAATTTCTTTGCCTTGGTACAGCAGAAAAAAATAGAGTGATTTTTTTTTTTTTTTTTTTGAATTCATGTAAAGCAGAGCAGAAGTTTGAAATAGTGAATAGTCTTGTAGGCATTATGTGCTTTCAGGTTCTGAGTTTATTACTTGTGAGAATTAACCAGGGTAGCAGTGGTCTCCAACTTCTGTGGGTGAAAGGGTAGCTGGGCTTTAAGCATGTGCAGCAGTGGGCAAAGAATGGAGGTGAGGGAAGAGGCATCAGACATTAGGAAGGGATCCTCGTGGAGAAGTGGGAGGTAGGTGGTTCAGATTTTGTGGATGCCGATGGCAAGATGAGTCCTATTAGAAAGTCTCATTGATAAGCAAAAATTGTTTTCAAGGCAGACTAAAAAATTAGGGCTTCCCCATTGTTACTTCTTTTACATTGCCTTGGTGACTTCTTGGACTTGATAAATTGAATTAAACATGGTGTTTTATTTGGAGTCCTTGATTTTTAACGTAAGCATGGATTAGAGTAACTCTTCCTTGCTATTTGAAATACTGCAATTCCTGTTACAGTTTGGGCTGCTTAGTAAGCTGCATTGTAATTTGAGTCATTTCTTAAAATTAGAGGAATTAGATAAACAGTGATGGGCCTGCAATGTAGTGTTTGCCAAATGAATGTCATATATAATGTTCAGAAAAATTTTATTTGTGTGGCACACGTTATAAAATAAAGCAGACTTATGTCAAGTTCTAAATGCAAGTTTTTACTTCACTTTTCTTGCCATCTTCATCACTGTAAATGCAAGTTTTTAAAAACACATATTTTAAAGTTGGACCCAGAATACAAGAGCTCTTTATTGCAACGTGGCTTCTGGTACTCTGATGATCAAATCACATTTTCTGAAATATGCTTGATACAGTAAACACTGACAAAACTAGTTAACCCCACAGAGAAGGATGCTGGTATTTTTCACCAAAGCCAAGCTGAAACAGGTTTTATTGCAACTTACTTCGTGTAAAATATATGTATAATTTCTCATATGTCTTTTTTTGGTTTAGCAAGCATAGACCTTATTTATCAAGTGAATTCCTATTGCTAAGCATGTTTTAGTTAATTAGTAACAATAAATTTGTGTTACAACTGATTTTCATGTAGGAGATAGAAATGAAATTTATAGTTTGGCTCTCAATCCTTTATTTTCAGGGAAAAGACACAATTTACACATATGAGCAATTTGTGAAGATGTGGGAAATTCACTAGATTAGCAGTTCTATTTTCTTTTTTTTTTTTGCCTTTAATCAGCTATGTGATCAGGAACAAGTTATGAACTATTACATGTCCTTGCATTCCTTATCTGTAAACATAAAGAATGGTACTAGGGGGCCTCTTAGTTTCCTTCCAAGTCTTCCTGTAGTTCTAATGTAGACAACTGTGACTAAACCTAAGGTTGCTGCTTTTATACAGTTGTACTCAGGGTCTGTATGGCCTGCCATTTTTGTAGTCCCCCTAACAAAGACTTTGAGAAGATGAAAATAATCCTTACTCATGCAATGGTTGGGAAGGTTTAGGAGAGAAGGCTTGTGTTTTCTATTGCTGTGTAACAAATTACCCCCAAATTTGGCAGCTTAAAACAACACAGGTTTATTGTCTCGCAGTTTCTCTGGGTCAGGAGTATGGGCACATCTTAGCTGGTTTGCTGCTGAGCATCTCGAAGTGTCAAGCAGGCTGCATTCTCATCTGGAGGTTCAACTGTGGAAGAACCTGTTTGCAAACTCATTCAGGTTGTAGGCAGAGTTCATCATTTGTGCCTGCATGAGTGAGGGTGCTATCTTCTCCCTGCATGAGTGAGGGTGCTATCTTCTTCCTGTTGACTAGTGTCCTCCCTCAGGGACTAGGGCTGTTCCCTGTATGCGACCCTGTCCATAGCCAGTTCAGCATATGGCACTTTGTTTCCTTGAGGCCAGCAGAAGACTGTCTCTCCAGTCTGCGAAGATGGGGTCCTTTCCGTCTTTTCTACCATGTGGTCTGCTGTACCACAAGCCTTTTCTTGAGCCTATGAGACAGCTTTTTAAACCTGACATTCCGGCGCATTGGGCCCTTGCAGTTTTCATGCTGATGAGTAACTTTCATGTTACCAAAGGACTCACTGGAGTGTGCTTTTTGCTCTCCAATCCGTAATTCAAAATGTATCTTCTTCTTCTTCACCTCTCTGTGCTTTATTTTTTTGGCAGACTTTTGATAGTAGATTTCTAAACATTCAGTTTTTCCTTTCTTTTCACAGTGTCACGCAGCTGACCAACATAAGTCCAAAGTGCTTTAGAATTCAAATAATTCTACAAACCCTGCTTTACAGTTAGCAGTGTAGTGGTGAGGTTCAAAACTTAGACTTGGGCTGGGTGCAGTGGGTCACACCTGTAATCCCAGCACTTTGGGAGGCTGGGGTGGGAGGATCACGTGAGCCCAGGAGTTTGAGACTAGCCTGGGCAACAGAGTGACAGTCTGTCTCTAAAAAACAAACAAACAAAACTTAGACCTGAATGTAGGTAACAGGTGACACTAATCTCTACTTCAAAAGGATCCTTTATCAGTTCAAGTCTGAAAGACTGCATGCCGTAAGCATTGCTTGGGGGGGATTAACATAATGTGAGAAAGGGCAGATGGTATTTCCTGCGTTCTGGAGAGCCTTAGAGTGTTGGATGCTGTCTGTCCTCCGCCGCCTCAAGTAACAGAAACTGGGTTCAAGTTGGCGTTCACAATAAAGAGGGACGTAGTAACAGGAAGTCCACAAGCAGAGCACTCCAGTTCCTTAGTTCAGAGCTTCAGCTCTGCTTTGTCCATGTCCGCTTTGTCCTGAGGCTGACTCCCTGTGTTAGTCCATTCTCACACTGCCATAAAAATACTACCTGAGGCTGGGTAATTTATAAACAAAAGAGGTGTAATTGACTCACAGTTGGGCATGGCTGGAGAGGCCTTGGGAAACTTACAATCATGGTGGAAGGCAAAGGGGAAGCAGGCACCTTCTTCACAAGGCAGCAGGAGGCAGGGAGAGGGCACCGGGGAGAGGACCATTTTTAAAACCATCAAATCTCAGAACTCCCTATCCTGAGATCAGCAAGGGGGAAATCGCGCCCCCGATCCAATCACTGCCACCGGGTCTGTCGCTCAGCACGTGGGGATTACAATTTGAGATGAGATTTGAGTGGGGACACAGAGCCAAACCATGTCAGTTTCTTTAAGGTTACAGAGTGGCTGCTAGAATCCCCAGAATCCATATATTTCTTTGTCCGTCAGTTTGGGAGAGAGAATTAGGTCCCGAAACCATGGAATATAAGTTCTCAAAATCCTTAGATTCTCCTAAGTCACATGCCCACCCCTGGACCAGTAAGAGTCAGCCAGCCACACAATGCTATGAGCCCTATCCTTTTGATCGGGATCCATCATTGGAGCTGGGGGCGCAGGTAGACAGCCACCTGAGCAGAACAGGGCCTCTGAAGAGGGAAGAGGGGAGTAGATGCTTAGTAGGCAGCCAACACTTTCCATTATCTCATCTAACCAGTAATTTAGTTAACACTGTTTTATCTGTTGTTCTTTTTTGTAACTATAGAACATCTTAAAGTGGAAGTCTTTCTGTATACTATGAAGGCATGTTTTCTAATACGGTAGCCATCAGCCACTTGTTACTATTGTACCTTAAAGTAATTAAAATAGAAAAATTAGTACTTAAGTGACACTAGTTGTATTTCAGGTGTTGGGCAGGCACCTGTGTGTGGTGGCTACCTTACTGAACAGCACAGATACAGAACGTTTTCATCATTTCAGAAAGATCTGTTGAACAGAGCTGCTCTAAACTGTTTCAGGTAAAGTTTTTGTGTAAGCGTTGAGCCGCAGTGGAAACAAGGATAGTGCCTGCTTTACTAGGTTTTCATCTTATGTTGGGGATTATAGGATCTAAAATTTAGCCAAAATGGGAAATAGGAATTCATTCATATTGAGGTGATTGAATATAACGTTTGATACTACTTAGGACTTAAAAATATCAGAGCTGTTTTTAAAAATACTCTTTTTTCCATTAAGAAAGTACAGATTATTTTTTGTTATGTGATAACTATGTGCAACTTTGATGATACTTCGAAGTTCAGAATATGGAAAGTGTTGTAATGTGAACAACTTCACGTGGTGGTCACATACCCATGATAATGATTCTCC